ATCTGCAGTCGATCAGAGTATATCCCCATGCAGCGCTGGAATATGGGACTGAAAATGCAGAGTGCTAGCCAGGACAGGGCTAATGCTGACGTATTTTACAAACCTGTAAGCACACTGGCTAGAAGGAAAAAAATGTGCACACACCCAGAGTAGAAACCACTTTATTTCTATGGGAACTCTCACATTACACCCCTTTGTCTCTGCTTCTTGTGACCTCTCATGGTTGCAACCAAATGAAAAAGTTGTGTTCAACTGAAGTACAACAATCTATATCTACCCATTGAACTTTTAACCTTCTTTCTCTGTAGGTGGATAGTAATAACAACCTGGCAAGGTATAGAGCACCTTAGATCTGCATCGTGACCTTCTGATAGATGTTAATTACATAATTATATGCAATAGTGTTAAAGTTGTTCATGCACAATCTGTCCCTTAAATGTAAAATTTTGTTTGTTTTCTGCAGTTTGCCCAGTTGGTGTCCATCTACAGAACTCTGGGGCCAGAGAAGTTTCCTCTTATTGAACAGACGTTTTATCCAAATCACAAGGAAATGGTAGGTGTAGATAATATACATAAATAACAGTTGCCTTTTGGAGATATGGGAAAGAGCTAAAAGAATATGTTTCGTTGCTTTTTTGACAATCCTATTGATTGAACCTGAGTAACTTGACATAAGAAACTACAGAAATTGAAATGCATATTTTGTGTGTGTTTTAAATACAGCCGTCACCAATTCATTCTCAAATGGCATTGTGGGTTTGCTGGATTATATAGTCTACTGATTTTTGAAAAAAATGTATTCGGTTTAGAATTTGTTGATAACAGTTGTGTTCTGTGTTTACACTCAGCCTTTACTTTTCATATTCCTGCTAAAATATTTCTGTTTCTACTTTCAAACATACCATCTACTGTTACATAATGAAATAATAATAATAATAATGGTTTCTACACTGGAATTACATGCTTTCACACATTTGCTTCTTCATGAATCTGTCCATGGGCCACATGGTGATGAAAATGTGTTTATTGCTCTCTTTTGTAAATACATATATCCCACCATCATTGTATGGGAAAGGATTCCAGCATGAGAGAAAGTGGGGGTGGTCTAGGAATTTTTAATTACATTAACAATTTTACTATCCCCAGGGCCTTGCCACTTATGCAAGGATGGAGCTTTGACTCTCACTTCAAGCTTCAACCCATTTCAGAGTGAGAGACAATCCTACTCTTTGACAATCCTAACAAAGATTTGTTGTTGTTGACAATCCTCTATTCCTCTACACTCCATTCCCTTGCTCGAAAACTGTCCCTAGGGCAAGGCAGTGTTCAGAATTACAGAGCAAAGAGAAACTGTAGACATCTTCTTGAAAAGAATTTGGGGGTCATCCACCATCACAGTGTACTTTCAGGGTATTCAGAAAACAAGTAAATTCAGTACAACTCTAGGGATGATACCAACTCTGCCTTCAGCTATAAACATTTTTAAAAAATATATGTTTGCAATACTTCCAAAATTCTATGATGTCTTGGAATTGTACCAAACACCCTTACTCTGTCTTTTTAGCACTGTACATCCAGTTCCCAACCAAGCCCTGTTCTTCCTCAAGCTACAGAGGAATATCCTCCCAGTTAGCTTGTTCTTCCAAGTGTCTGTGTACAACTGCACAACTGCAAGGGCAATTACTGTTCCTTCCCAGTTTCAAGATTGGAAAGATGTCTGGAATTTGTGTATGCCAGAAGGCAGTGAAACAAACTATTGCAAGTGTGATGTGTTTAATTGTGATCTGCTGGTACAAAAAGCCCATGTTAATTCCTGAACAGGTGGCCATGGTCTGCTTTGGCATCGGGTAATACCAGTCTGTGGCATAAACTTACTGCCATCCATTGGAGGAATAGAGTTGCAAAATTATCTCAGTGTGATTTCTGTGATGTTGTAACATTTCAGTAATACATCTCTTATTGGAACACGGTTGGGAAAAACAAACCCAATATTTTCCACAAAATGTAAAATACCATGTTTGTCATATAGAAGTTAAAACACCATTTTACATTGTAAAGCTTGTTTCTGTCTCCCCTGGCACTGGTAACTTTGAGTACTAGTATGGTAGGGTTTTCAAGTTTGTTTTTTTCAGAAACAGTACAAATGTAGCCAAATGAACCCTACTACAGGTTGAAGCACATGATTCTCGTAGATATTCTCTGTGCTTATCTGATGTTTAATTTGTATGGAGTATGAAGTCTAAATCCTGAGTGTTTAGGAATACATGTTGAAACTGAAGTACCTCTTAATTTAGGCTCTGTTGGATTGATTTCTAGCTTCTGCAATTTGTATTCTTAGCATGTTTCTCTCTTGCCTTGCAAACAAATGAGATAGTCTTTGAAACTCTTAGCTGTAGTCAGGAATTCCTGGCTAATGGTGTGTTGCAGGAGTACCCACTGGATTAGTAGAGATCATCTATTTACGTATCCAAGAGCTTTCCAACTTCATAATGTCTAGAAACTGTATAAGTTTTTTTCCATAGCATTTACCTACATGTGGCATTTATCTACATGTAGAGTATATACTTTGTTTTCCTAATTATTCAGTATTGGTGACAATGTTGATAACAGTGATGAAGATGACTGAAGTAATTTATAAAATTTGCAAACCAAATTGTTCACAAGGAGATATAAAGCATAGCTGGTTTTGCAATGTATTTGTTTCTACCATATTGTTAATATGTACAACATTCAATGATCCTGTATGCGTGCCGTATATATGCTGTGCTCCACACTGAGTCCCCTTTGGGGTGAGAAGGACGGAATACAAATGTTTCAAATAAATAAAATAATGTTTTTAATAATTTTCTGCATGAAATAGAATTTGTGAACATTGAAACATCAGAAAGTGAAGGTGTCACTATCTCAGCCACCTATGTGGAGGATTTTAGATTATTTTTAATTTTGGAATTACGGATAAGGGATGATCTGCCAGTATTTTGCTGCAGTAGCATGTGGTTTAGTGATGCTGACTGTTTTCTTTGTTCTGGTGAGATTCTGTTGCTAAATAATAATGATTATTTAATGAAACCATTCAAAAGTATTTGAGCAACTTTGTATCAGAAGACATAAAAGGGTTTAGAAGGGAGAAAGAAAACAGTTTCAAAGGTCCCCTCAATGGAACATTACCCCTTGGCCTTATGGGTAGCAAAAACATTATTTAGGCTTAGTATTTTTAGAAAGTGCTTTAAAAGCAAAATTCTAACTCTATTTATTGTATTGTAAGAGTGCTTGTTTGAATATGGTTCTTGCCGACTTCATTTATTTGTACAAGCTATTCATTAATATTTAACACAACTGTACAGGTTATTACCAATTCTCCTCATACTGTAATAAATATACAGTTCAAATTTTGATGTTACGATAGTAAAAAATAAACAGATTCAGGAATTCAAGCTCCTCTGGTCTTCCTGAAGAAAAAACCTTGGAGGTTATGTGGTTGAAAATATGTCATCTTTTTGAAATATCAAAATATATGAGTATAAGCTATCAGATTCCAAGGGAAAATTATTTTGGAGTGCTTTTATTCTTCTTGCAAATACTATTATTTTATTGAACTATAAAAAATTAAAAATAAAAGTTGTAGTAGCAAATAGGAGCTATAACTGTATTAGTAATATATGTAAATATATCATGTTATATTTGCATATGCTCCTTAGGGATCTCTGCAGGAAGAAGTATTTACTAACCCTTCTGCCTTCAGAGACCACCTGACTCCTGATGAACTACCATTTAGGGGCTGGGTTTGAAATTGGGTGGCCAAGTAACATTTATCAATGTTGGTATAGTATGCCACATGAAGATGGCATCATCCTCCAGGACTACTGGAAGGCCTTGGGGGATGTGTTCTTCATTGTTCACTGACCAGATACAAAACAAGAAACTTAGATGACCAGTTCTCATTCTTTGAAAAATGAACATCCAAAGAACTTAAAATTATTTCAAGGGGAAAGAAGGAATGGCATTGGGAATTCTTTTTGCTGAAATAATTCTGTAGTTGAATTAAACATTGAAATACTGACATACTTTCACCACCCCAGTATTATGAAAAGTTGTGTGAGGTAAATCAGTATGTGACATTATATTCTTTAATATATTTAAATATCAGAATAATATGAGAAGAAAGTGCTTTTTAAAAGAGTGTATTTTCTGCCTAGCCACTAAGGTATACAAACTGGGGCTCTTGGCTTATATAATGCAAGACTTAATTTGCAAATTGTAACCTTATTTATTTGTCCATTTGTTCTTGTCAATATCCTATAACCAAAGCTTTGAGGACAACATACATGATGTGTAGAATCTTAATAATAGTGCATACATCTGGTATTTACAGCTATATGTCTACTATGGTGTGATTGTATGCCTTTATTAAACTGACAGTTTGCAGTATTGAGTTCATCTACAGTGTAGAATTAATACAGCTTGAAACCACTTTAACTGCCATGGTTCAATGCTATGGAATCATGGTAGTTGTAGCTTTACAAGCTCTTTATCCTTCTTTTCTAAAGACTGTGGGGGCCTCACCAAACTACAACTCCCATGATTCCATAGCATTGAGCCATGGCAGTTAAAGTGGTGTCAAACTACATTAATTCTACACTGTAGGTGTAATATAGTCTTTCTTCCCTGAAATGCAGTCAATAACTAAGTAACATACAACAAATTTATAGTCACAAATTCAGGTGGACCATAATATGTGATTATAATGAAAGCGTGAATCTTCAATCAGAATTCCAAGAGATACCATTTATGAAGTCTACACAGATAATCTGAGCTGATCTGTATCCTTCCTATTGCTGATCTACTAAGCAGTTTATGTATGATTATGTACCATTTCCTTATTTTGTCCATGTTTTCCTCTCTTCATTATTTGTTCATGCAGATAGTTACCAAAATGTGGTAACTAGGTACATCTCAATCCATTGGAAGTTACGTGGAAAAAAATGACAACTCTGGTGACCTTCTTGCTGGAAATTCACCAATTTTTTTATTGATTTATTTATTGATTTAGGGTTTTTTGAACCTGGGATAGTATGTAATGTTATCCCTTCTGATCCTGGAAGGTGATAATAATGACATAATAAAACAATAAATCTTTTTGTTTGATAAATATTACTTTTCTGGTAGTGAAATGCAACAACCGACCTTACTTTCTGTTTTACATTATATGCCACTACATTGGATCTGCTTCTGATGCTAATTTGATGTGCTATACTTTTGGATGAATCATTCAGATAAGTCTAAATTAGATGTATTTAGTGTACAGAAATGTGAAAGATAATATTTTAAATGATACTCGCACAACCAAACAGTTAACTTGCATTATTTGAAGCATGGGAAATTAATCATTCACGCTTTTTACAGAAGGCTATTATAGTCTTACAAATACATTGTGCAAGATCTTTTGTCTCATAACATTACACTGCAAAAAAAAGGACTATACAGAATAGTGTTCACCCCATGACACCCACCAAAATACCATTTTGCATTAAAACAAGATGTTTTGTAATTCATCTTGTTAACAAAAATAGTAGTCCAAATGTTAATATATCTTGTTTTGTATGGGTACATTCATTTTGATTTTTTCAATAAACAAAAACAGCAAAATTACTATTTTTAGAAATAAAGCAGTTTTCCCACATAGCACCCCTTTATAAAAAGAACAGTAGAGAGCAGCTACCTCCTGGAGACTCGTTGCTCTTCTTGTCTGGATGCCAATTCTATGAACTCTGTACTTTATTGGCACAGGACAGTTTTCTTTTGTTTCTATGCGAGAGACAGTTGTCAGAAGTTCAAAGCAGCAGTGAGCGTGCATGAACTTGGGATGGACATGACCTCTGGGGCTTTGGAAGAAATTACATCATTCACGGTTCACTGATGTCAACAAACTCCTTCTCTGGAGGAGGACCACCACGATACCAACTGCATGTTCCATCGCTGCGCTTAATACAGGCATAGTGCTTTGCTTGATGCCCGTACAGCTTTCTCTCTATCAGCCAGTCTGTCCACAGGCATTCATTTGGTGTAGTGATTGAACAGGGCACCATGTAGCAGGTTGAAATCTAAATACAGAAAATGTCATAAATTCTACCTTCTTTAAAAACACATTGTATCAGTGCATAAAATCCATTTCACAATATTTAAAAATCATTGCAGTAACATAGCATTGTTTCGGAATTATGTAGAAAGCTTCAGTTAATTTGAGATGATGAATACAGGGATGCATTCCTTTGCATGGAACAAGTTAGATCTTTGGACCAACACAATATATATAATCTAACATGAAATGGTGGATGGATTCTAATATAGAAACATAAGATAGTATAGACCCCTCCTGTCGTACTGTGTAATTATTAACTAATCTTGAAGAAAGCAATGAGCAATTTTATTTTTTTTCTTTCTACTGTGCAAACATTTAAAATCTGCACAGAAACTATTCAAGACTAAAATTTTCCTGTGGCAATAGCTTTTTCTGCACATCAAAAAGCATATTCTATGTAGAAAATAATATTTCTGCATTGATATACTAATTTGCATTGAATAGCTCACCAATTACAGGACAATATTTTTAGTAGGCATGTGTGATCCATGGTTCTAAATGGTTCTAAAGTACTTAAAAACTAGGTGCTAGTGCTTTGTTTCTAAAGTGTTTCTAAAGTTTTGGTGGTGAAAATTTCACCAGTGTTAGCTCACCAGATTTAAGAACGTTTGACTTATCCACTGATTTTTGGCAAATTTTCAAAGTTTTTATAAAAGTTTTTAATAATAAAGAAAATCTGTTCCTGGTTATTTCCTGTTTCATTGCCTTGTCTTTACTACAGAAACTTTATTTTTGAGGGAGAAACTTTGTTAAATTGGTGGAGATTCAACAAACCAAAATGTGCTATAGGGTGATGCCCCTTGCACAAAGGCAAAGTTTTTGCAGTGTAATCAACTTTTGCCATGTTTAAATGACAGAACCAATTAGGAACTGCCATTTAGAATGACATTTCGAAAGTTTTGTTAGAGTTCTGAAATTTTCACCACCAAAACTTTAGAAATACTTTATAAACAAAGCACCTGTACCCCCTAGTTTTTTAAGTACTTTAGAACCATTTAGAACCATGCCTAATTTTTAGCACATGAAATAGCTTTTTTGGCACAGAAAGACAACTACATGCAAATTCTGCTCAGAATAAGTATCAAAGTATGAAGATTCTCCAGTCCAGGATTCTTCTTGTCAGGATTTAATAACACATTAAAAAGGTGTTCTTAACAATTTTGGAATATTTTAAAATATTTTATCTGTATTCAGTGAGATGTCACCTTCTTTTAAATGTCTTCAACAAGTTGTCAATTAATTTGTGCCACATAGATCAAAGGGACAGTGTAAGTACCAGCTGGGTATTTACATTATGCAGGAAAAGTGCTGGAGGTAGGTTTTCAAGTAAGACTATTCCATCATAGCACGTATAATTTCTAATGTACTGTTTATGCATATAAATGTGATGAGTATTATATATACCTTTTCCATGGGGGATATGGGGTTTGTTTTTTTTAAAGGAGTGTATGTGTAGTTCAGAAGAAAAGGGATTAAATTTGTGCCTGTTGCATAACCACATGCCCAGATTCTGTATCAATAAATTACTTTTGAGTATAATTTCTATGGTGGTAACAAATTCTCATGAAGGTAATTGGAGGTAAATTCTATGCTTCTGTGGTTGTCGGAATCCACAATCCTGTGATAAAAATTTATGTGGCTACCTTATCCAGTAGATTCAATCAGGAAATCAATTCTAGACATTGCACCTCTTTAGCTGTTCCAGAGACATCAACAGGGATATTAACCTACACATGCACATTACTTTATATTACAACATCAGTTTTATACTCATGCCACTGGAGCATTTTGTGCAGTCTAAGCACAAGAAAAAATGTTTTTACAGTACATAAAAGCACTTTACATTTAAAAATTCAGTTTGTGCTTCATCACAACACCCAAAATAATCTTTCTGTTACATTGTTTATTACATTATTCATGGATTGGGCAGGGGAATGTTGCTCTCTGAATTATTCTGTCTAGAATATATTAAGCTTTCATTTGGATCAGGATAGATTAGGACAATGCAACACTCTAGCACTCCAGAAGAAAATAAGTAGACAAATTCTAATGCTGTTCTGAGCAGCCTGGAATATTTGTTTGAAATTGCTGTCTTTACCATTTTTAGTGAGATCAGCCATGTGGCTTTGTTTTGTGTTGTTTTTGGAAAACAGACTCTTCTTGCATTCTAGCAAATTAGTCAAGTAAAACGAATTGATTTCCTAAATGTATCTTCTTTTTGCTCAAAGAGTAAAACGGGGGTTGATTCGGTGCCCTCTCTTTTGGTCTTAAAAAAGAAAGTAAAGACATGGATCTGGGACCAAGCCTTTGGGCAGTAAGCAATGGAAAAATGTACAGGATTATGGGCAATTGACTTTTGGAAAGGCCAGGGACTTTGGCTTCTGGGTTACGTGATTTTAATGTTTTATATTAATATGTTTTAATTCCATGTTTAAATGTTTAGATGTTGTTAATTTAATTTATTGGTATATGTTAACAATTGCTTTTATACTAGGTTATTTGTAAGGCATTGAATTTTTGCTGTGATCTTGTTGGACACTGCTTTGAGTCCCCCTGGGGTAGATGAAGTAAATAATAAATTAAATAGCACTGCTGTATACTTACTTTACAGCCACAGCCCATTTGATATCTCTGATTCAGACTCTTCTTTTGAGAGAAAGTAAGGTCATCCCATGGTTCAATGTAGTTACACAAATGGATGAGAACTTTGCCGTCATCCAAAATTTGTCCTGGTTAAGGAGTACAACAAAACAGTAGTTGTTCTGAAAACTATGTGTGCAACTCACACTACCAAATCAATGAACATTTTACTTTTTCCTGTTATAACAGCATAATCTTAGATATATCCAAAAATAAGTACTATTGAGTCCAATGTAGTTTACTTCCAGGCAGTTAATACAAGACATTATGTGGCTCCTGTGGGCCATCAAATCACTCAGTTGTTCTTTTGGGTGGGTGGGTAGGTGAGTTAATCATATCTCTTTCGAACTTCCTCTCTTCCAGACTGCTGCTGCCTGGAGGGAATTATTCATTCATTTATTATTTTAGTAGCTTACAAACCTATCACCATGTATTAATACAAAAAAATAAGCTAACAACTTACATTAAAGTATATTTGCAAAATGGCACATTTTTATCAAATACATCATTGATTTTTATCAGTGACCAGAACTTTGTACAACACTATAGTTGTGTCTACATTCTGTCATTTCAAACATTACCTGTCAGGAGATATTGCTTCTTGTTGTTGGCTTCCAGTTTCACCCCACAGAGTGATGAGTCAAAAGGTGTGTAGACAAACTGAACATCTTTCAGTTTTTCAAATCCTTTAAACATCTATATGGGTGGAGGACAAAAAAGAGGATTGTAGCTAATTGTTTCCATGAACCACACAAAATGTTAAAAGCTGTCTCTGTTTAATGCAGCTTGGTTTCCTACCAACATGAAGATAACATTGTTTATTTTATTTTATTTATTTGCTTTATTTATACCCCACCCTTCTCACCCCGAAGACTCGGAGCGGCTTACAAAGAGGCACAGTTTGATGCTGCATATACATACATACAATAAAACAAAGCATATATATTAAAACCAAAAATTTCAAAACATCTCCATTTTAAAACCAAATAATTAGAACCATGCAATCCAAAGGCATATTCCAGGAGCCATTCCAGTCGTAAATTGCACTATTCCATATTCAATTATTGCATTGAGAACTTGCTGTACAAAGGCTTGGTCCCACATCCACTTTTTAAATTTCTTTTTGAAGATCAGGAGGAAAGGAGCTGATCTAATTTCACTGAGGAGGGAGTTCCATACCTGAGGGTCCACCACTGAGAAGGCACTGTCTCTTGCTCCCACCAGTAGCACCTGCAAAGAAGGTGGGACCAAGAGCAGGGTCTCCCCAGAAGATCTTAACCTCCAAGATTGTTATGTCCAGTGATGTTAGGTGAAGATGATGGTGTGGGAAAATCAGGTGGCAGACAGTGCAACAAGCTGGCCCTGTGCCATTTATTGGTGGGTCAGCTGTGGCTTCTTCTGAGTGCTGTCCGCAAGGATCTCTATACTGTATGACTAATCAATTGAGCCGACTAGCCAGGTTAACACATAAAACTGGAGTCCCATTCCCAGATATTAGTCTCTGTAGTTTAGAAATGTTACATGGTGCTTACTAGATGAATGATCTATGACAGTGCATTCCAAACTATCTGATGTTGAAGACTGACATTTTTTCCACAGCAAAAACCATTGTGTGTCCATTGGGTCCAATTTTTCCCCCTGGAAATTCACTAGGGACCGGCAGCAAATGGTTCAGGAACTGGCACTGGCCCATGGGCAGCCATCTGGGGTAGTAGTGATCTGTAATGATGCCTAATACACAAGCTTTTCATTCAAATAAGAATGAAATGTCTCAGCTGCCCAATTATTTAAGGATGAATTCTAATGCTGTATTAAATCCAATTATTAGTATGATTTTCTGTAAGAACATAATCAGTGCTGACATTCATGTGCCTCTATTCTCAACAGGATTATTTTAGTTTCTTTTTCTCTGAAACCTGCATGAAAACTCTTCACACAGTTTACTAGAATGACAGCATATCTGCTCCCAAAGTTGAACTTTTCACTGTTTATATGTATTTACAAAATAATCCATATATACACATTATAAATGTGTATAAATACATTTGCAAAGTAATCCATATATACATTTTCATAATGTGTATGTCAGTTGCAGCTCCAGTTCCATATTATGTGTAGAATATTCATCAAATATAATGGACTGTAGAATGCTTAATTAAACATTACTTAATTGTTGTCATATATTCATGTTTTAAAGGAACCTGAAACATTGAGCACCTTCTTAATGTCTCCCGCAGTTTACAGTAACATTATTGAAAAAATATCCATCCATGAGTTATGTGATTAGATCAGTGTTGACAACTGTAAGCAGTTTTAACAACCAAGGTCTGAGTTTTAGTAATGTTTGAAAATGAGTAAATAATAGCCCACGAGCATGCTGAAATGGAAATTTTAATCAAATAAATAGCAACCATCTAGTAAGTGATAGCTGCCACTATGACATAGCATGGATAAAAATGTTACTGTTTAAATCAAATAGATACATTTGACACTTAGTATTGACAAGACATGTTTATGTTACATAAACATATTCTGTCTTGTAAATGGCAAACATCACTAGAATCCCTTCAGTGTATAAACACAGGGTGTCCATAAAGCCTCTTTACCATTTAAATGGTAAAGAGACTTTATGAACAACCTGTGTTTATATAACTCATTATTTAATCTAAAAGCAACTGTGGAAGTATATGCAGGTCAAAATTTGGTCCCTGTGCAAAAGAAAGCCTGCTGAAACTTTTCCTTACAAAATATTGATCATGAAATCCTTTGCAAACAGCATTCCCCATTCATTTCTGTGGCCCTTGTTTCCAATTAAAATTAGAATAGTATTGCATCCTGAATTTAACAGATTGTTGCACTTTTTAAATGTGTTTTAATTTTTCCCCATATTCACACAACAGTCCCAAATTATATTCTGAATTTTGCTGTAGTTTACTTCAGCAAAAGCACCTGGTCAAGAGTGGCTGTGTGGTGGTGGGAACAAGAAAGGTAAGGTGAGGACCACCCATCAGGACCAAACTGGTTTTGGCCCCACTGAACCACCTGGACTCCACATTGCTATCTCTGCGGAACAAGCATGCAGAGTATAGCCACCCTTGGGGCCAGTCCAAAGTATTGCTACTCCAGATAGGCCACAGATCATGTCCTACATGTAGATTAGTTCATAGTTACATACAGTTCTGGAGGATCCCCCAGCTTTCTGCAACAGATTTAGGTGGAGCATATGGTTCTCTATTTTCAGTAGCAAATCCCACAGTTGGATTGCCAAAGGTGGTTTCAGTCCAAACCATTATATTTCATGGCATTCCCCCCCCCCCCCCAGAAACCATTCTCTTACATTCATAAAATGGATAGCAACTGCCTCCAGTTGTTATTAGAGACCTTCTGAGTTAAGTGACACATGATAGCTAATTTAAATCACATCTGAAAGCATTTTATTGGAGATTAATTTAAAGAGAGAGAACCATCACTGTAAGGACCTTCAACATCCAATGTGAATAAGTGTTGTGCTAGGGAGAAAATTCTGTTGGTAGACTTTTTGGCTTATATTTTTAGAAAATTGTATATCATATTTCCATATTGATTTGTAAATTGATTCCCAAACAATAACAACAAAGCACTCACAAAATGGTACAACAAAGCATCCACAAAATGGTACAATCTAAATAAACTATAACAATAGCACCCACATTTCTGAGGGGGGGACAATTAACTTTCAGTGTGTAGATATACATTGAGGCTGCTACAGAGAAGGTCTTACTTGTAAGATCAAACCATATAATAGATAGCAGGTTATAAGAAATGGGAATTCCTTGAGCTCTAAGAAAAAACAAACTCACTGTCAAAGCAGGAGCTTTTCATTCCTCCCATCGCTTGCCAATTGCCTTTCTTTTATAGTTAGTTGATGGCCAGTAAATATAGGCCTTATTTGCAAATCTTATTGCTCAAAGAAGCTCTGGGAGGATCACATCTCTGGAACACTAACATGCTCTCAGCTTTTAATGACATACTATCTGTATGGTATAGGTTGGACTTCTAATTTTTCATACAATGGAATTCAGAGTAAGGTCTCATCAGAAGATCTTCAGTGCTTGAGGCACGGGTTTCAATGGAAAAAGTGTTTACTGAGGCTGTCTCTGAAGTAATTGTGCATTTGTTTAGCAGTAGTCTTTGAGCTTAAATGAAGGCAAGGGATTTTATGTACCTTTATTTGTTTGATTTCATACCGGATCATTTTGTGAGTATGAAGAGGATCCTCACTTGGTGCAATCACTTTTTCACTAGAAATTTTTGCTCGAATCACTGCAAATAAATTGAAATAAAATACTTGTTACAGATCCAATACTTCATTTATTATTCCCTATTGCTACATATTTTTTGTAATGCAAAGGTACCAAATCAAGGAGAAAGACATGATCTTTTCTATATAAAAACACAACACAGTTCTGTAATACATTGCATTATGGTAAGAAAGGAAGTTATACATCTGCCTCTATTGCAGTGGTTCTCAACCTGTGGGTCCCCAGGTGTTTTGGCCTGGAACTCACAGAAATCCCAGCCAGTTTACCAGCTGTTAGAATTTCTAGGAGTTGAAGGCCAAAACATCTGGGGACCTACAGATTGAGAACCACTGCTGTATTGGCTACATTGCCCTTCTCTCCCTCCTAGGTGCTGCAAGATCAGTTTGCACACTCATATTTCAGACTAAATAGGTTGTGACTTTGTATGTTAAACATATACCATTATTAAAACAACAATCTTGAAATTCTTTCTTCCCTTGCTGTTTGATATGGTTTCTCCCTTCTATATGACAAGGCTGTGTGTTCATGCATTCTGCCATGTGTTCACTAAACTAGAGTTTTTTAAACTCTACTGCTCCAGATGTTTTGGACTTCAGCTCCCACAATTCCTAACAGCTGGTAAGCTGGCTGGAATTTCTGGGAGCTGAAGTCCAAAAGTCCTGGAGGAGCCCAGTTTGAGAAACACTTCCCTAAACTAAAATACTGCCCTCGGCTGATATGGAATTGTTATCCCACCACAAGATACAACTCTGAGTCTGGTCAGGTCTCAAATAGAGTATCTAACTATTCCATGGTGAATGGCCATGATTTCTTATTCTGCACTTCATGACTGCTTTCTTTGATGTGGTGTCACTGTCATTTTATGCACTCTTTTCTACTCCTGTGAAATGCTCCAACTCCTGATGTAAAGACATTCATGTTCACAGGCATTCCCCGGGCTTTTCTACCCTGATGTCCTCCATCCTTTTACCTTTTAACACTAGAATTCCCTTTTTTCTGCTTCTGGATTATCAGGATATGAAGTTCATCGCTTCTCATCTTTTATTAGAACTAAAATTCTTAGACTTAAATATTGTGAAAGACTTCTTTAATGAAGACAAGAAATATCATACAATCTGTTTTTCTCATCCCTGATCCCCACTCTCACCTCTGTGTACCTTCCCCCCCCTTTTCATACCTACATACCAACACCATAATCATGAGATGTCATACAAGCAACATTATTTGGCTATTAAGGCCCCTTAAGTGAAATGAAACATTTGACTTGGAAGAGTATTAGTATCACAATCTTAATATCTATGTATTGGATGTTAAGGTCTCTTTTTCAAAATGAATTACTAGAAGTAAACATCATCATCATCACTCTCTTAAAAGCCATATATCCATACTGGACTTTATACTCTCAAACACAAACTTTTCCAGGAAGTTATACCAGGGGAATTCTTTCCTTTTTTTTATGGTGTATACCCTAAAGGCACCATATCATGCCTGATCTTTGAAGTTAAGCAGGATTAGCCCTGGGTTATGTGGGACTAAAAGACAACCAATGAAAACCAACTCCTGAAATCTGTTTTTCAGAGGCAAAACTACCTCTGAATATTCCTTGTCTAAGAAAAGCTTATGAAATTCATGGGGTCATTACAAGTTTAAAGGCAACTTGAAGGCACACACACAATTTGACAGGCAAGAAGAATAGGAGGAGCTCAAAGCACATGGGTTTCAACACTTCTTTGCCTGCAGAAAATTCCAGAAATGGAGGCAGCTGAGTCAATCTGCTACAGAACATGTCTTAAAAGTTTTATGATTTGTTACACCTGAAAATGCAGTAAAACGTGGATTTGAGACTAGCAGGATATACATTTTATGGTTCTTAGGGATCTAATGAAAGAAAGGTTTTTCAAGAAGGCATTCTGTGACAGCCTAAAGATTAAACTTTTTGTGGCTTGCCAGACAATGTTGTCTACCACGCCCACCTACCCACCCACCCCATTCTAAGCTATTCAGCAGAAGAGGAAAAGGGAACATAATTCAAGCCAACAGTAGATGAGAAACAGTTAGTAGGTGCCATAATGTAGATGAAATATGCATATTAGCTGCTTTGTATAGATGGATGATACATTTACTTAGAAGAGATAATGTACCAGGAAATCTCATCAATGGGTGACAAAGTTCTAAATTTGATTTAGTGTCTTCTAGAAAAAAATGTAACATGTTTTGTCTGAAATACAATATTGAGAAAGACTGACTGGATATTTCTGTCTTGCAGCCCTGAAGAAAATAGGGACATATAAAATGTCTGGTTAACCAAAACTGCAATTATGAAGGCACTGCCGTGTGCAATAGTACGGGCTGTCTCATCCAATTTCTGTTTAGCTCTGTGGAACACTCTTATTTTAACTGGAATAGAATAATGTTAGCATGATGAATAGTAGTCAATTTAGAAGTCCTAACTGTCATAATTACATAAATTAGCTCCTTTCATTCTTTCAGTGGTAAAATAGTGGCTCACCCAAGTTCGCTGATTAATATGTCAGCAGGTTTTTAATGTGCTCCAGAGCTTCAGAAATCATAACTGAATTGCTGACATGGACTTTCACATTTCATATGTCGAGGTTTGATGGTTTGTTCATAAAAGAAAGAAAAAATATTTCCAAAATATTTCCATTGCCAAAAAGCTCTCCACCTCAATTTTGAGCAAGGAAAACACAGCTTGTCTGGGAAAGGAACACGTTTACGGAAGCCTGTTACTTGGTACATTGCATATCAAGGAGCACATATGGAACACAGCCTTTTCTGGTTGTATTGATGGCTACATCTTAAATCCAAGAAACAGGATTATCTATGAATTCTCTGCAAAACAGAACTTCATGGGGGATGAGAAGTTGTCCCTCAAAGGCTTTGTGTTCAGTTAAAAGAGAGGTGTGCATATAGGTTTCTTCTTCAAGTACAAGTCTTAAAGCTTCAAAATGCATCTTTCAGCTTTCAGAATTCTATCCATGAGCTTGCAGATTATAAAACATAAATTCAGTTCAGGTTCTGTATTCCCATAACTCATTGACAGCAGCACAGTACTTTTAAAAAATGCTTCCTTGTTCAAATTTAGGAATGTCCACCTTTTGGTTTATTAGAGAGCACAGTTTGGTGGTAGAACACATGCTTCATTTTCACAGCATCCAAGGTTCAGTACCAAGCACATCAAGGTAGGACTCAAAGAAATTCCATTACAGAGCCACTGCTCATAAATATCGGCAAGCGATTAGCAACCAAGCATCATGTGACTGCACTATAGCCTCCTTTCAACCCACCAGAAGCCATACTTTCATCTTCATCATGTAAATTCAGCACCCACCATTCGGATTTACCATATTGTCACACTTGCCAGTAAAATTCAGCATCAGTATATGGTTGACATGCAAGTGGTCTGTGGTGCATTTGTCTGTGGTCCAGAAAGACATACCAAAGTATCTGCCTTCTAAAGCCCTAGAGCATCTCAGGAGGGGGAAAAACAGGAAGAGCTGTGTGTCTAAAAGTAATTTCCAATTGTATCCTTATATAGTTTTCTTTGCATAATTTGGAGAGGGTTTGCTTTTGTCTTCCTTTGAGTCTGAAGGAATGTGACCTGTCCACTGTCACTCATTGGCTTTCCATAGTTGCGTGGGGACCCAAGCCTTGTTCTCTAGAGTCTTAGTCCAACATTCAGATCCCTCTAAGGAGGAGAGACAATCTATGGTAGTCTTACCATTGCCCTCCATTTCATCAAGAGTAAGTGGTGGCAGCAGGGGTTGTAGTGACTCACGTGTGGACAGTAGTAAGTTCTGTGGACTAGTCATCAGACTTTAAAATTTTTTAGCTTTCTGTGTTGGTTCCCTTTTAGTTGTTTGCTAACAATTCCTGCTGCCACCACTTCGTTATCTTAGTTGTCTAGAAAAATAAGCATGCAATGTATAATTCTTAACAGTGAACAGAAACAACATGCATTGATTACAGTTCTGAACAGGTACATAATGAGAAGCTTAAACAATTTTTAACATATAAGTTGAGTCGCCTACGGGCTGAGAAACTGCGGTATACAAGCAAAGTAAATAAAACATAATGAAGGGAATAGTTTCATAATTAAGACAAGTCTGGGGTAAGATGGGATTTTTTTTAAAAAAAAACTGTAATGTTTTGGAAATTTCCATTGTTTTACTGAAGTTAGTTTGTTAGATTGCCTGCTTTGACAATGCCTTTGTATAAGTTACTGCATTACACAGCTTCTGCTGCTGTATATGTGCCTATAAAATCCATATCCACATTTTCTGTGTGCAATCTTCCCACACATTATCTCTCAATGTCAACATCTCATGTGACATCTTGGGCCTGTTTGGTAACTTAAAGGGCTTAGAAACTAGGCATGGGTTGAAACAACAACGCTTTGCCAGGAAAAGCACAAATGGTACACCACAAATCACACATACAAATGCTACCATGAAAGTGCTCTTTGATTCATTTTGGGAATGCTAAAAGTTCTGAATTAGTCAGAGGTCATTTTTAGAAGGCCTGTTGCAGGCTCATAGCCTCTGGGTAGGAGCATGAAGACCAACCATCCCAAATCTCTCGTAGACCTTCTCTTCCAGAGCAAAACTAGACTGACCATTACTTTCGCTAAGTTGAACCTGCTCTACCTCTATACATCTTTATTTCATGATGGAGGAAGTGAAGTCTTTTTATTTATGTATTTACAGGTATCACATGTCACATACATTTCACCTGACTGTGCTATCTATTCAGCCCATCCCAACTCAAAGTTGCGCTATCCTTCCTCTTTTACATGCATTATTTTTAGAAATAAAAATTGAAAGTTACAAGGTGGAAAAGAAAAGTTTTTAATCATAAGCATATTGACATAAATCTGACATTTATCCTGTTATATAATACAGTTTTCCTTTTTGGTGGTTAGGAATTCCTAATTCACTTTTACATTATGAAGAAAGGGAAGAAGGTGAGATTTAACATTTTAATTCTGTCAGTTCTGTATAATTCTGTCAGTTCTGTATAATTCTGTCAGTTCTGTATAATTCTAGATTCAAATTGAAAATACAAAAAAAGTCAAAATTTGTCAGTTTCCTAAAAAAAATAGACATCAAAATATAATGGCATCTGACCACAGGTCATATTCAGTCTTCATGTCTCTATTTGCAGAAAGGGCATGACTTTTTTTTCCCTCATGAATATTATTTGTACTTCTTTGGATTTCTTCAAATAGATAATTATTGTGTTTCAGTGTGTCCCCTTTGATTTCATTCCTGTTGGCACTGATTAATTGAGTTCACTCATTATGTATGACAACAAGAATAAGATAGCTCTCTAAAGTCCACATGATCCAGATTTTCTTTAGCATACAGGTATGCTATAGATTTTGGAAGCTAAATAGGAGCAGCCCTATACAGTAATATGATGGAAGAATGCCAGTGATTACCAGGTGCTGTGGATTATATTTTGAAGACAGGACTGGGAAAACCACTTCTGAGTATTCTTTGCCTAAGAAACCCCAGTGAAATATATGAGGTTGCTGTAAATCAATAGGTGAGCTAGAATCACATACACACTCATAATAATGTTTATCACAGCAGATAATCCACATGATCTGCTTTGAACTGGATTATATGAGTCTAAACTGCCATATAATCCAGTTCAAACCAGATAATCTGGATTTTATGTGGCAGTGTAGAAGGGGCCTAAATGAATCATAGCAATGGGGAGTTACTTGCTCGCTTTGAAGTAAAGGAACATAAACTTAGGATATTTATTAGTTAGATTTAAATTACATTTATATATTCAGTTTGGTTGTACACAAAATAAAAGTCTTGTGTACAGAATGAGAAACAAATCCTATTTTTTCCTGATGTTTTATCTTGATACATCTGTTTGGTTTAAATATTATAAAATGACATCGTCTTCTTTCCTTGTCTTTATCTGTTCACCAACACACACTTATGTCAATAAGTAATATTAGGCACTAGAATGCAAACAAATTGCATTAGAGGCATTTTGAGTACTATTTTGACTTTTGTACACACAATAGCTATGTAACTGAATTAACCTAACTGATATTCTTCCTATACTCTACATTATTCTAGACTAGCATGCCTGGCATAGGCAATTTAATGAAAACATTACTTAACACAGCAAGCTGGAAAAACAGTTTAATTGATGGTATTAAACAGAGTTTAGAATTTGTCATGGCTACAAAGATTTTCTGTCAGCAAATGAAAGCAATTAATCAGTATGCAGAACGTATTGCCTGTCCCATAGAAATGCTAATTTTGTGACATTTTAGAAACTCATGTTCTACATTTACTCTTTACTCTGGATGGAAAGCAACTAGAAACAATTTGAGCTGATAAAGTGAAAATACTGCAAAATGTTTTTTAAAATGTCATTCTGCTCTTGTTTAGTTATGAAACTTTCCATTTTTAATACGTAGATTGAATGCTTGTCATGAAAATTAGGCAATAAGAAAGAAGACTCTGGAATATTTTGTAGAAATGTCATCTGTAGATAAATTTTAAATAGCCTGCTAGGGGTACATTGATAAAAATGCAACTCATTCTATCAAATAGATCAGTTTCAGAAATGACTCTATTCTATTCACAAGGCAGTGTAAGACAAGCCTAAAATCTGGGCACAATACACATGTTACGTAACCCAAATCCTTACTCTTTTACATTTTAAATGTCATTGAAGTCCATCTCAGCTCAGAATCTTGTCACTGTAAAGAAAAGTCCATAAAAGATTTCCCACAGCAGTTCCAACAAATTGTTGCAGAGAAAGCTGAAAAGCAAAAAAACAGGAATAACTGCTTTCAAATGCTTTCAACCACTGCCAGAAATCATTTCCATCTTTATACCTCTTCTTTTAGAGCTCCAAACTGCCGTTGTTAAAATGGGATCCCTAGAGCCCTGCAGAAAAGTATGCCTACAGTCAATCCTGATTCTGTTGCTTTTCTTCCATGAGGGGAAAAAGTATACAGTGTTTAATATGACTCACCTAAAGCAGAATCGCAGATTTGTTGCTGAGGATGTGCAGGGGCGCAGCTGCAAGCTTCTATCAGCTCCTGAATTCTGAGGGTTAGAAGAAGTAGCAGTGAAAATAACAAGGTACTGAGGCGAGGATTCATGCTGCATGAAGTAAGGCTTGCTAACCAGCTGGAGGCAAATGTTCGTTCACTCTTGAGTTTATAGCTAAACTTCCTAATGCCTGCTTGGTTTCTTCTGTGTGCAAGCAGCAGTTCAATTTCAGCAGACTTAAAATGCTTCGAGGAGGAAGAGGAGGAGGAGTGGTGGTAAAAAGCCTTCTCAGCTCAGCCTGAACATATACTTATGTTAACTGACTTCTAATGTCCCTGACATAAGACCCTCTAATTTATTGACTTGACACTTACTTGTAAGCCCGCCTTCCTTTAAGCAAAAAAGCACATCATTGGTGAAAATGTTGTATGACAGGTTTGTGGTACCAAAAGAAAGGTTACTTTATTTGATTACATCACATGTTGTTGTTATGAGTCATTGTCAGCACTAACCATGAAGGCCTTACAGAACAGCAGTTCTCTTTTCTTTTCAGAATATTTGGCAAAATGATTTTTTTAATATAAAAAGGTACGTCAATTTGCCAAAAGTATTTTATGTCATTTTCTCACACTGTCAAAAGTAAAGTGCATGGTCAAAATCTAATACAAACTTCTACTTTATGGCTAAGTTTTTGTTTCAGCCCCTGATCTTTCCTAGCTCCTCCCAACATTTTCTGAGAATGACATCTCTGGGCTAGTTGCACAGACCATCATTCATGAAGAGGAAGTGTTTCAATGCTTAGCTTGTGAGGCCCACATAGTTTGTAGAGGAAAGCAGGGCCTGCTAGGAGACAATTGCAAGAGAGAAGTGTAGATGCTACCCACAATACATTTATTTGACATCCTGATTCAACATTTATTTAAAAAAATAATTTTGTAAGATAAACTTCTGTCAAAGCATTGTAGTCATGGTGTGAGGGTGAGCAATTTGGATTTTCCCCTCCTATTAAATATAGCATGTTTATCATAATTAAAGGGAGAGAAGAACGTTCTTCTATATATGTGATAATTGTCCCACATGAGATGAAAGAACTGAAACCAAAGGGGGATGGTGAAGATTCATGAGGTGCTGCCCAGAAGACAGAGAAGGTTCTTTATTCTCTGTTTACAGCTGCACACGAGGACCAATTCACCACTGGATAAAATGGTACAGACACTGTTCAGATAATAGCATAATGATGTTAATGCTGTGAGCAATGACCTCCAGGAGTTTTGCTCATGATGGTCACCAATAAGCCAAGTGTGAGAAGGGGAAGGTAAGTGCCACCCCCTGTCCCTGGGCCACTTGAGACCAAAGAAAGCAGGATGGCCATGTGAACAGCTGCTGCTGAATAGGAAGTGGCCCAACTGTTTAGACTGTGGCCCAGAGTCACAGAGTTTGGCTTGTACATGGCCCTCTTCTGCTTTTCTCTTGCCTACTTCCTGATTCTATAAAACTGAGATAACAGCATTCCTAAAAGCAGAGGAAGAGACTACAGCGTGCCATTACAGTGGGGCTGTATGCTTTCTTTCCAGTTTGGCTATAGATGACATAGATACCTTTTTGAAAAAAAATAGTAGGGAATTATTAAATATGTTGAATTATTTCGTTTATTTGCTCCATTCAAAAAATCTGTGAACACTTTGATTTGGAGTCAACTGTTTACCAGCCACACTCAACTGGTGCCACATTCTTAAAGTGAATTAATTGGAGCCTACATATTCTCATAAGTCTAGTTCAGCTAGTAATTATCCTTCTCTCAGATGAATAGATGGCGTGATTCCCTATAGCCCTTGGCTCTACAGGAGTTTTCTTCTTATTTATGTCCAGAAATTCATAACAAAAAACAAGAGTAGCTTGTTTCACCATGTTGCAACACACCAAACAAATTATAACATGTTGGTATTGCTCCAATAAACTGGCTCTATACTGCTAAAGTTAAAGCTCATGGCCAATTTCATGCTGTTTTAGGAAATTAGTTATCTGTTCTCCCTACTGCCTTCAGAATTCATTGCTTTTATCCTGCTGATTATTATAATTTCCTTAATTTTAAGAAACTGCTTGATCCTTGTTAATGAAGGTGCTACCTTCTTAACGTTTTTAAAATTCAGTAAAACTTCCACAGTTGGGTCTTGTATGGATCTTATGGTAGCTTATTTGAATCATCAATGTAATGTTTGAGCGGGGTGATAAATGCTTCCCTCACATATGTTTTTGTTTCTTTCATATAGGCACATATAAGCCTCAGATAACCCAGTTTTTACAAAGGTTTTTTATGCCCACGCCACTCCTTTTTTCTCAACTTCTGAAAACCAAACCCATGAGATATGGCTGCAGGAACTAGGTTTAGCTAGCCTGGAGAAGAAGAAAATGGAGGTTCATATGATATAGGGAAGCAATGAGTCCTTTTATAAACTTTCTTCCTCTTTTAAAAAAGTCTGAAACTCTTTTTACAGACTATTCATGATTTAAGACTCTTTGTGGAAAATTTGTATGTATAGTTTTTATATTGAAAATAGCATTTCCTATTATTTTCTTGGTGGAAAGTGCTGTTTTCTAAACAAAATTGTGTGCAAATTTTGCATAGAAAATATCCCCATTGCTATATCTTCTGCACATGAAATAATATTTCTGTGTGAAAAAACATTATTTTCTGGGTAGAAAGTATTATTTCTTGAGTAGGAAATACTGTTTTCTGTACAAAACAACTGTGTGTGAATTTTGCATAGAATAAGCCCCAAATTGCAAAGATTCTCGCTAATTCAGGATTGCTCTTATCAAAATTCCTTGACTCTCAAGAAGCATAGTGCTGTCATTTTAAAACATATTGGTTCAGAAGGTAGAACATAAGTCTGTGAATCTAAATTAAAAGAATTAAGATTACAACTAAATATTAGGAAGACCTTTCTGAGGCTGTTTGAACATAAAATACCCCAGAATCTTATGGGAGTTTTAAAACAGAGGTTGAATAGCATATATCAAAGTAGCTTTAACACTGGTGAGGAGGTGTTAGATTACATAATCCTTGGAGAACTTTCCAACTCTAAAGATTTGTGATTATATTCATATAATAAATTGCCTGGGTAAGTTGTGTGGATGCTACAGAATGTTCAATTTCTGTGAATATACATACACAGAAATCGGAAATACAATGTCATGGGCAATCCTTTTGTATTCAATGATATATCTACACTTCGGAATGTTGCCTAGTTCTTTCATGGCTGACTTTCAAGTCTCTTGAATATAGTCTCAGATCTGATTTATGATTGAGACGAGGTATAGGAAATCTTTTACCATTTAAATATCTTCATATTCTATTTTAATGTAAATCAACTGCTGTCATTTTTGTTTTCATAATGTTCAGCTGTAAACCTGTCTGTGTACTTCCTTCTTTAGTTGTTCCAGTTCTTTACTGTTTCCTAGTATTTTCTCATGGTGATGATGCTACAGTTTCTGGAAAATGTTGAAAATATAATTTTAGTAGAAACAAATTCACCATAACAAACTGGTGCCACAGCATGCTCAGCATGTCCTTCCAGAATATTATAAAAACATCTGAAAATCATATATGTAGACAACCTAAATGTTTCGCTCCAACTCAACAGTTTTTGTTATGAAAGTGCCATTAACTGATAAATCCAATTAACCATAACTGACTATGGGATTTGCAGTAAAAAAATTAAATTGCCCATGCCAGGAAAGCTCAAATAAAGAGTACATTAAACTAGTAGTTCATTAAATATATAGCATAAAGAGTGAGGGAATGGATAAACTAAACAAAAATAATATTGTATAATTAGTGCCAATATAAATCAAACCATGGACATTTTACTATTAAGACAAAACAGACTGCAAAGCACAATGTAAATTATTCAGTGCAATATATCTTTTAATATCACTTTTTATAAGAGTATCCTGCAGCTCTATCTAATTGATATTAAAATACAACTTTGCTGTCACCGAATAAACAAACCTAATGGCTATTTTATTTGCAGGAATCTAAAACAGAATGTTTGGCTTGTTGTGGAAACAAAGATTGGTGGTACAGCTTGAGTGGAAACACCTTTTCCCCATGATAACTCTTCCAGGTGTGAATTTCCCTTCCAAGGGGTAGATTTCTCTCACTTCCTGTGGTCTCACCCTTGTTCTTAACTATGAATTGTTTGTAAGTTGGATGTTTGTAACTTGGGGACTGCCTGTAATTATAAGAGGACATATTCTATTTCCTCTTAGGAGTTATTTTACTATTGCTAATGAAGCTTAAATTTCACTTCCCTTTGTGTAGGGGTGCAAATACACTGTGAAATTAACCACTTTAGCTGCCATGACTCAATGCTGTGGAAGCATGGATAATGTAGTTTGGTGAGAGACCAACACTCTTGAAGAGAAGGTTTGTAAAACTACAACTCTTACAATTCCATAACAGTGAGGGATGGCAGTTAAACTAGTGTCACACTGCAATAAGTCTATAGTGTAGATATACCCATAGATTTCACATGGCTTAAAAAGGGGGAGTGGTTTCTTTCGGCATTAAGATCTGTCCACACCAACTGAACAACATCTGATATAAAATATAGACCTGTAGCACAACCCGAAGACTTTTCATTTCTTTTCCTGTGTGATTTTTAACATATTTTGCCTGGTGAAGTTTGTAGTGCTTTGAAAGTGTACATGAACTGTTCTGTGCAGTTTTACGGTGTATGGTCAATGCAGCTACCTCTGAACATGTTTCCAGAGATGTTTTTCATATAAAGAACTGCAATCAGATTATTGACTGCTGCTGGCCACAGGGAACATAGAGATCTATGAACAGATCATCTCTGGGTACATTTCATAGTGTAAAGTCGTGTATAGCTGAAGTCATAGGCCCCTTCTACATTGACACGATAATGGGGCCGAATTGGAGGAATCAGTTTCATTGTGTGGGTGATCAGATTGCCATTCATGAATCTGGATTGAGACCAGACATTTACCACAGGTCCTGGATTCAAACCATTTTGCAGGGTTTTTTTATTTCTGTTTCCCGAATAGAAGCACATTAGTGAGACAGAGGCATATAGGGCAAAAATAAATAAATAAATAAATAAATAAAAGGGACAGCTGCAGAGGCAATCAATTATCTCTCCTAGGGAGTCAGGTATCTCCCGTTGCTCAGCCATGCTTTTGGGGTTCTTCTCAGTAAACCCCATTTGAATTCTTTGCTGTGGTTTAAGGGTGGTGGGTGTCTACAATGCACTCCTTGTTTTGTAGAG